TCTTTGATTTCTTCTCTAAAGAGTGATGTATTCTGATCCTTTTTGCATGTATACATGTTATTTCTATGATATTGTTATCCTTATTTATATATATTTATTCTTTTTATAAAAGTTGTGGTTGTATATGCATTACACAGGTGATTAAGCAATTTGGGGAGAAAATGAGATGAAACAAGCTCAAAATTGACTAAATCAGGCTGAATGGCGCCCGGACACCAGTTTCACCCGCTAAAAGCCAGTCCTGGGCTCCTAAGCAGTCAGAACCAGAGTCAGAGGCGCCTCTGTGCCATTTTTGGGCACCCAGGCACCCGAGAAAATGAGATGAAACAATTTGGGGAGAAAATGAGATGAAGCAAGCTCAAAATTGACTAAATCAGGTTGAACGGCGCTTGAACATCAGTTTCACCCGCGTAAAAGCTAGTCCTAGGCTCCTAAGCACTCATAACCAGAGTCAGAGGTGCCTATGTGCCATTTTTGGGTACCCAGGCACCCGAGAATAAAGAAATAGGTGCTTGGGCTCCAATTTCGGTTGCCCAGGCGCTGGTAAGTGCAAGATTTCTGCTTGGACGCATTGTTTCACATCAAACAAGTTAAAAGTTTGTTGAATATGAAACATGGAAGGGGTAAAGAGGGTTGAAGACCAACGACAGGAAAAAAAAAGAATACTTGGGAGCATGCATAACATTTCAAAGGAGGAATCCAAATGAATTTTGTCAATGTGAGTGAGTGTTCTTTTTAGTGAGAAGAACTATAAGAGTGAGTGTGCATCCATTTTTGTAATACAAATAATATAAAACTCAGAAACTTCATTGTAATTTCGTGTGAATCAGTGGAGAATATTAGTGAAATCATTCTAACTTTGTTAAAATTTGATTTTAAAATGAAATTTATTTGTGTTTAACTGCATTGAGTATGAATTAAACATCTCTCTTACTTGAATGAAATTTTATGGAATTCGTTGTTATGTGATTGCATGTAACTCATTTATGAGTTTGTAGTTTAAACTTTTATTTGTAGTTTAATTCTAAAGGGATCACATGGGATGTTAAAATGTATTTTGATAAAATATTACAATAGTACATAAGTGGAATAATTAGTTTAACCTACACTACTCTAAGAGAACATGAATGTTGTTATCAGGATAGTGCAATAGTGTAAGAAAATTTAGAGTTGTTAGGGTTTTTGTGTGGTTGGGGGCTAACTATAACATAAATCCCTAATTTTCTTATGACCATTGGGATGGGCTAAGAAAATTTGTTGTTTCTGATTGTCAGCTTAATTAGAGCTAGTTAGATATATTTTATTTGTTAGGACCAATGCAAGAGATGTTCATATCACATGTTCAAACTTAAAACTAAATATATATTTTACTTTTTTTGCAAAAAAAAAAGGATAAATAAACAAATTTTGAACCTTTGGGCTAGATTCAAAACCAATAAACTAGAAATTTTCCAAACTCTTGTTGTTCACTTGTTCATCGTTGGAATGATAAACATACTTAGTTCTGCATATTACTTGGTCGACGTGTATACTTTTGTGTATCATCGATGCTTCATAATATTTTGGTTGTATCAGTGGTGTGTCTCTATCTTGCTCAGGAATATACGGTGGATACACCTCACTATTCACACCGCATCATTGTTTGATTGTTATTTTATACCAGGACAAGCACCAAACTTCTTTAACCTACTGCCCAACAATAGGTATTGTCTCATACTCGCATCCAAATGTCATTAATATCCTTTATTTTCATTTTCTTATTATTTTACAACCAATTTGCTAGTAAATACTTTTCCTAAATATGTTCTAGAAACTTTAGAATGTTATATTTGATAATACAAAAATTTTGTCGGACCATTACAAGATTTCTCGACCTTTGCTGTAGTTGGCATGTATCATTGATGGTACCATTCTAGGGTTTCTAAAAGTTATCTAAGAAATTAAATTAGCATTAAAGTGGTTGTGGATTGACAATGAATTGAAATTAGAGAATATCAATGACATTTGAAGGAGTGTATGAGAAGAATCCTGCTATTTGATAACAAGTTTGAGGAGCTCGACAATTGTCTGGATATAAAACAATGATTGAACAACAGGTTGTGAATGGCAAGGTGGATTCACCACCTATTCTTGGGCAAGCTACATGCATACCGCTTACAAAAAGGATGATGATATAATTATTCTTAGAGCATAAGTCATATATTAACTTCTTCACAATATATAAAATCAATGTTATCTACCTCAAAAACAACAAAATGCAAAATACATCAAATATGTAATAGATAGCTTAATTAAAGTTGGAGAAATATAAAAAAAATAATAATAATAAAAGAAAACAAAGCAAGCGGAGTTAGAAAATCCAACAGTCTTTCACTCGAGTCGCTCGCGATCGTGGGATTTTGCAATCCAAAGGAATCACAAAATTCCACAATCATAATAAACATGCATAATCAAGCGTAATTATGCAATTTCGTAAGCTAAGACATCAATCCTCGTTCCCCCAACCTCTAGACACTGGTCATTGTGGGGTGAACTTTAGGCTAGTTCAAAGATCAAAGGGCCTACCCGGGGGGGTTGGTTTAGGGGTGCACATTCCAAACCCTCCATTGGTTTGAGGGGGGAAGCAGTGCACACCTCGTGTTGTTAAATTAAGCTAATGAGAGTGTGTGATTATCCTTCTAGAACCCTTACCCATCTGCCCTCGCCGAAAGTAGTTGTATTCCCATCTTGAACTATGGGTTGAGGCCATCGGAGTTGACATTCAATTCCATCCAAATTCCTTTCTCTTAGTTCTATCCTCTCATTCCCATAACTCCTCCAAAAGCTCCCAGATATCTCCATAGTTTCCTATGATCTACCTAAGCTTCAATTCATGAAGACCCATTTTACCAAGCTTAACTTAAAATCGCATAGCTTAATTGCAATGAGAGTGTGTGATTGTCCTCCTAGAACCCTTACCCACCTGCTCTCGCCGAAAGTAGATGTATTCCCATCTTGAACTATATGTTGAGGCCATCAGAATTGACATTCAATTCCATCCAAATTCCTTTCTCTTAGTTCTATCCTCTTATTCCCATAACTCCTCCAAAAGCTCACAGATATCTCCATATTTTCCTATGATCTACCCAAGCTTCAATTCATGAAGACCCATTTTAACAAGCTTAACTTAAAATCGCATAGGTATTTACAAAAGATGGGTTTAACATTAAGAACAATATACGTCTAATAAATATTGATCCTCGTAAACTCTAATTTACATATAAAAATTTATGAGATCAAAATATATGACTTACTTATCATTGATATTATATGTACATAGAGTGCATTAATATAAGATTATCCATTTATTTGCAATTAATTGATATAGTCTCAAGCAATAGTCGCTCAATTCTTCTCTCATTTAAGAATAAGAAATTACAACTTAACAAGTACTAGTGGCAGAAAAAGTTCATGTCCGAAAGCTATAATATTTAAGAATGTTTGTTGAACCAAGATTCAACTTCGCTCTTAGAAGAATTAGGCTAATCATTTAATCATGTTCTTAATTTTTTATCATATTCTAAAGTTAGTGTTATCTCACTTCTCATCATGGCCCTTGACACCTTGCTCCACCTCTTCCTTGATAACTTGATTGGGCTACTAATGAGTATACCTTAGAAGTTGCCAATGAAGGTTTGATGAGGTAATCAACACCAAGGTCATTAATAAACAAGAAATGGGGAAGCTAAGAAATGTTATGATCATATATCACAAATCTTGCCATCAATAAGGTATGTGATAAAAGGGATGAGCAACTTGATCTCCATTCGATAAATCATCACCACCAAGGAATAATCTCGAGGAGATGACACTAATAAAAACAACGATAATGTATTTTAGAGCGACAATGACATTTAATAATGAATATAGAAGTGGAGGTTGCAACCATGACGATAAAAGATAATAACCACTGTGTCACAACTATGATATAGAAGTGGAGGCTATGATAATGAATCAATAAAGCAAAATAACTCCAAACAAAATTAGAGGAATCATTATATTATGCTAGCATACAATCAATTTCACTGCAGTTCTGAGCATGTTGAATTTATAATAAATTTATATGAAATGAAGAACATCTTCTAATTGAAATTGATGAGAGGGAGAGAAGCAAAAAGAGAAACAATGAGTATTCTTTATAATTATTTCCCAAATTATAATCCGGTAAAAAAAAAAAAAACTTTCATGAAAGAATCTCTTATGTGGTTGAATAACATGCAACTAATTAGCACATAGGAGTTTTAATTGAGCAATACTCAATAATTTTCTTACAAAGAAGCAGAGAATGCAAATATAACCTCAATAATTGCAGTGACTAGGGCTATCAAAATGGCTCGTTGTTCGTGAACAGCTTGAGTTCGCCTCGTTAAGAAGCTCATGTTCTATTTGTTCCCTAAGTTAACGAGTCGAACTTGAACACTTTCTTTGTACTCAATATATGAAAGAGCCGAACAAGAACAATGATTTGTTCGTTCATGTTCCACTCATTTTGGCTCTAAATACTACTCATTAAATATTTTTAAAAAAATTCGTTGACTAAAAGGCTATATATATATATATATATTGATGAGTAGTATTTTTAAAAAAAATAATTGATTATAAAGCTACAAATATTTATATTTAATTAAAATTATTAATTAAAAAAAATAGAATAAAAATTCATTAATTTATATTTTAATCAATAAGATTTAAATCTTACCACAACTCATAATATTTTATGATTGTGTGATTAGGTTTGTAAAAATAACTCTTTATTCATGAACAACACCTTTGACATACTAAATAACAAACAAAACATAAAAATATTTTTTATGATCATAATATAAGTGAAATATTTTTTAACAAGCTAGCAGCAATTGTAAACACAGCCAACGAGTTGACCGCCATGACGAAATTGCCCTCGTCTTCCTTCTCCTGTATATATACGTCGTCTGCTCTCCAAATGCTCCTTACTCGAGGTGCGAGGCCCACTGTCCTGACATTTCAACAAACAAATTCTCCGTCCCTCTCTTTCCCCCATCTTCCCCCACACTCCCGACTAGCTCGCATGCTGGGGCGCTAGCGCCAACCCTCGAGATTCCTCCAAAGTGAACTCTTTTCAACTCCTAAAGCCCTCTCTCCCTTTGTCGTTCGGTCGATGCTCTCTGATAACTCCAACGATTTCCATCTTTCCTGTCATGGCGAACCCACCTCAGCCCCCGCCAGACGGAATCGCAGACGATTTCTTTGAGCAGATATTCTCTATGCCCGGATACACGTCCGGCGATGCAAGCCTGGCCGGCGGCGACGGAAGTTCGGTTCCTGGGATGGTTCAACAGTTCAACTCTGGGGACGTTTCTTCACCTCGTAATTTCTCGGTGTTTCCTCTTGGACTCAGCTTGGAGCAGGGGAGGACTGGCTTCGCCGTGGCAGAAGAGGGCTCTTGCAGTGGCGTCGTAGGGAAGCGGCTTCGCGAGGGTTTGGAGGCGAAGACGTCGTCGGATGCGGTGAGCTCATCCTGGTCTTTGTTGAAGTCATCTATCATATCAGTTCCGCCATGGTATTGTTTTGATGTAGCTTATTTGGATGCTTGCGGATAGAAAAGTTTTTCAATCTTTATACTAAAAATGAAATTGTATATTGATTTATAATAATATCAAAACAAACGATGGAATCTGTTAAATATAAGGTTTTAAAATCATGATTTTTAAGTTCAAGCAACGCAAATGAGCCCTAAAAGTTGTACTTAGGTTATGATTTTCACTTGTTATTTGGCAGGAAAGGGATCCTATTCAGTTACCCAGCTTGTTTCCCCCGTTTGGACAAGTACAGTCCCATCAAATCCGGCATAACTCTCCTCAGGTATTTTTTCAATAACTCATTATTGAGATCTTTAGCTATGTTTGTGATTAAAATTTGATATGTTAATTTTCTAATTCTGGAAATCAATTTATATGTTTTAAAGTTGTAGGATAAAATGTATTGAGGCAATGATATCTAAAAAAGAGAAAGCAAAATTGGGTGTTGTTAGATTGATTGAGTGCCTCACTTGATATTTATTTTGAAGTTGTGAAATAATTGTTTCTTAAAGGATTCGGTGTCAATTTTCTTAATAGATTCTCCATGGTCAAGCATTGCAAGCACAAGTTGCTTCAGCATCACAAGTACCAGCTCCCCGTCCAAGAGTGAGGGCAAGACGTGGGCAAGCTACTGATCCACATAGCATAGCAGAGAGGGTAACTTCATTCTTTCTCACCAGCATGTTTATGTAACCAGATTTCTGGAAGTTAGTGCATCCTGTTTACTGTAGTTGCTTTATTCATTTTGCCTTATTTTATTAGGATTGGTGCTATGAGTTTTCTTAAAATTTGCTTAATGTTTGATGGTCTATTTGGAGGAAACAAGAAAAACAAGAATCCTTTTTGAAATGTACATTGCTAATAAGTGGTAGAGAAAAGTAATCATTCTTTATTTCTCTATACAACTACATGCTTGCACTTGTTTGGACTATTAAAATGAATGTTTGATGAGATTTCAGATTTGTTACAAGTAGAAAAAGGCTATTTCATGATAGGTGTTCATGGATGTTTGATGAATCATACAACGTTGGATTAATTTCTCTTGTAAACATTTCCCACTTTTTTTGGCCTTTGTGCACTATGCAACATGCATATTTTTCCCAATCCCCGGATGCAAAAAGTAAAGGATTGCGTTAAGTTGTCGACAACCAGCTTAAAATTTATATTGAAAAAAATTGCATGAATCCTTGTGCCAGGAAAGTCTACTATGGAAGCTATATATTTGTTGAGAGGTTTGATGGAGAAGTACAAAGAGAGTAAAGAGGATCTACATTTGATTTTTATTGATTTAGAAAAAAGGTTATGATAATGTTCCAAGAGAAGTTCTTTGGAGAGTTCTAGAAAATAAGGTGTTGATATGACTTATATTCAAGTCATTAAAGATATTTATACTCGAGTTGTTACTTGGATTCGAATAGAAGGATGATTGACCAACTATTTTCGTATTTCAGGTGAATTACATCAGGGATCAGCTTTAAGCCCATATCATTTTGCTTTAGTTATGGACGCTCTTACTGGACATTTACAAGATGATTTACCTTTGTGTATGCTTTTCACTGATGATATACTTCTTGTGGGTAAGTAAGACTAGAGAGAGTTCAGGAAAAACTTGAATTATGCAGGGGTCTATTTTAGAGTCTAAAGGCCTTCGTTTGAAAAGATTTAATACTGAATATATGGAATGTAATTTTAATAGTAGCAGATATAGTGTCATAGTTATAATGGGTGATCAAATCGTTAAAAGGAGTGAACGTTTTAGATATCTCGAGTATATTGTTTGAAGTGCTGGTGATATAGATGGGGATGTTATTAGTATAATTCAAGTTGGATGGTTGAAGTGGAGGAATGCATTGGGCTTATTATGTGTTAGAAAAGTACTGCTTAGACTTGAAAGGGAATTCTTAGAAGATGGTGGTGAGACCTGCAATGCTTTATGACACATAATGTTGGCCTATAATATAGAAGCATAATACTAAGTGTTGCTGAGATGAGAATGCTTAGGTGGACGAGTGGCTTTACACTTAGAGACCAAATGTGGAATGATTATATCCATGAAAGGGTTGGTGTAGCTCCAGTGACAGATAAGATTAGAGAAATACTTCTTAGATGGTTTGGTCACATTTGACGTCGACCATCTGATGATCCACTTAAGAGAGTTGATGTTTTTTATTCGACTTATATTAAGAAAGATAGATGTAGATCTAAAAAAAACAGGGCAGGTTGTATAAAACATGATGTTAATTTGTTAGAATTAAATGAAAATATGACACTCAATAGGACACAATGGAGAAAAAGGATTCATGTAGCCGACCCCACTTAGTGGGATAAAGGCTTGTTGTTGTTGTTGTTTAAAATTTAAAGGCGTTTTTTTTAGATGTTTACTGGAGTCTCTCTCCTCTTCTTCCCTGTGTGAAGGTGCCCACTTGCATGTGTTTGTCACCTGGAAATGCATAAGCAGAAAGATCCTGAACAGAGTGGCATGCAATAAACACGTATACATTGATATTCAGATAGGAATGAAGATATAAACTGTGATGGCTCTAAGAAGAACAATATGCTTCTAAAAGAGGGATTCTGCAAAAATGTTGCTTGAAGATCAATCTTATGAGCTATAAACTTGTAGAAACTTAGTGATTCCTAATTTTTTACAAGATTGTGGGGGTTTCCCTTTTTGTATTCTTGGTTTGCTTGGACTGCCTTGGTTCTCCTGTTCATTCATTTTTACTTTAACTGAGCTTTCATACGTTACAAGTTTGTTTTCCAAAGCATCTATTATTCACTCCTAGTTTGTTTAAATGATTACACAATGTTCTGATGCATTAGTGTGTTGGTCCCATTGTTCTTCAATCAATTTTTGCTTAGATTTTAAACTGGCGGTGAAGAGAAATGATGGCAGTCTTTTTTTGGAATAAGGAAGCTCAACAGCTACTGCGCATTAGTGTGTTGGTCCCATTGTGCTTCAATCAAATTATGCTTAGATTTTAAACTGGCGGAGAAGAGAAGTGATGGCAGTCTGTCTTTGGAATAAGGAAGCTCAACAGCTACTACGGAAGATTATATTAGCTGTACCAAAGGAAAACAGTAGATAAATTGCTCTTGAATGTAAGCTTATTTATTGCAATCATGATGTGAATAAAACAATAAACCATAGCGAAGTATGATCGGGGCTGCAATGAGATGTTGAATTATTATATCACTGTTAATGAGTCAAAAAAATGCATCTTATTGATGATGGATTAGCTTTTTTGTGAAAAAAAAGGATCATGAAACTTACCCCAAATTGATGGGTATGGCAGCATTATCTTCCCTTCATTCTTTTTGAACCTTTTTTCTATAGTTATTTCAAAAGCTATCATTGCTAGTTCCAAACCCTTGCTAAATTTATTTTTAAACTGAAAGTATAAATGGATTTAGATGGTAGATGTTGATGGCAGGTGTGAGATTTCCCTTAAATATAAGGAATGGTTAGTTGGATGCAAACTGCTCTGATATAAAAAGTTTTGCGAAGGGTCTCGATTTTTTTGAGGTTTATGTTGTGTTGCAGAAAATCATTTATGTGTCGTTCGATACTATATGTTCTGATCTGGAAGTTTTCATTGAGACAGATAAATCAGGCTTTAAACGTTGTAATTTCAATTGCATTAGTTCAAGCAGCTTCTTTATTGAAAAAAATGGATAATGTTGGGTTACATGTTATGCCTTGAAGAATATACTACCTAATCTTAGAATTTGTTTTTCAGTCATTATAATGTTTTCCTTAATTCTGTTGTTTTCCTCATTGTTTCTGTTATTATTATTTTATATTAATGGTTGGCATGCTTCAGGATAACCTGACCTCTTTTCACGATTAAATTGTTGAAACTTGAAACAGTAGGATTTATGTTCAGCATATTAGTTTAAAATTTTTTTTCTTTTTTCATCGTAATAGTGATGTAGCTTTATGATTTCTTTTTTCTTGTGAACTTACAGAGCATTACGTTATGATTTGGCCCCTTTCTCTTTGCTAGACAAAAAAATTAAGGTTATGATAATATGAGAAAAATCATCTTTCTAACATCAGTTTCCTTCTGTCATCGTTTTTCTTTTCACGGCAGCTACGTCGAGAAAGAATAGCGGAAAGGATGAGGGCCTTGCAGGAACTAGTTCCCAATACTAATAAGGTCAAATCCTATAAATCTCTTTGTTTTGATATCCCTGTCTCCTTAATTACAGTTTACTACAGTCATCAATTGTAAAAAATTATATCACTGTAATTTGACAACTTGTTACTATTAGTTAGGTGCCTGTCATATTATTATAACTTTATTTTATTCTATGCTAATGTCGAACTTTCTGTTCCCCATGCAGACAGATAGAGCAGCCATGCTTGATGAAATTGTAGATTATGTTAAGTTTCTGAGGCTTCAAGTCAAGGTAAATAGCTTCCCAATATTTTATGAACATAGTTTTGTATCTTGATTATCTTAAACTTTGCAAATAAATGATTTATCTAATTTTTTCTATCCTCAATTTTATCAATTGCATATATTATATGCACGAACAACCATAAAAGTTCATACAAAAATGTAAAATGATACGGATATCAATAAAGTAGTAATTGAATGGATTGCTGCGGCCATCTAACAACATTATGCACCTGGTTCCGACATTGACTAGTCATTTTTGCCGTTTCTTAGAATATATCATGGCCTTGAATGTTTTAATAAGTTTGAAAATATCAAAATTATTATAGCTTTAAGAAATATGATCTGCATGATTGCCAGTTTAACCAAGTGATATAAAGACGCAGAAATTAAAACACTCCTGTTTACCCAAGATATGATCAGTTGTTTGCAACTCCTAAGTTTTGCTGATCAAGATATTCACATTGAATCGTTAGTTATATCAAATTGTATCACATTATATTGGCGAGATTCATATTTGTATGCTTCATCACCACAATAACGTAATTAGCAGATATTTGTCAGTGATATGCTTTGATTCAAACTTTATTCTAGTTCAAAGTAGCCTGCCATTAAGTACAAAACATCCAGTCATTATTTTTCACTTAATTAGAGGCCTTATTCATTTCCTATTACCTTACAGTAGAAATTTTCAATCTTGGCCCATATTTGCTTCGTAAATCGTTCTAGCATCTCCTTAAATGGATCATTTTCTAATATTTGTCTTATTTGATTTGTATCTCACTGCATTTTAGTCTGTTCTCAAAATGGCAGGTTCTTAGCATGAGCAGACTTGGTGGTGCAGGTGCTGTAGCACAGCTGGTTGCTGATATTCCATTATCACAAACTGAGGTAATATAGAAATATGTGGAAGAAGCATTACATATTATAGGCTGCTTAAGATTTCACAAATATATTCATGCAAATGAACTGCAAATTCATTCTTATCCAACAATATCATAGTTTGCTGCAAAACATTCCATTACTGCGAACTCTCTATTGAAAAAGCAAGGATTTGTAAACTCCTAATTTTCATTGGATTCCTATTAGGGAGATAGCAGCAGCGACGGAAGGAGCAAGCAACAGATATGGGAAAAATGGTCGACCGATGGCACGGAACGGCAAGTAGCGAAGCTCATGGAAGAAGATGTGGGTGCAGCAATGCAATTCCTCCAGTCCAAAGCTCTTTGCATGATGCCCATATCCCTCGCCGCCGCCATCTACCACACCCAGCACCAGCCGGAAAATCCTTCCGTGAAGAACGAACCCAACACGCCACCGTCGTAAAAGACGAAAGCGAAACTACCTAACCACTTCTCTCGGCTTATTCGAGGATCTTCCTTTCTAACAGGCCTGTGGAAAAACCTTCCTGTGTATTTTTTCCTACTTTTTTTTTTTTTTTTTTTTTTTTTTTTTTTTTTTTTTTGTAACTCGTCAAAGGTGGTTTGATTGCAAGAGTCAAGCAGAGGAGAAAAGGAGACTCCACTTGGAACTGTCTCCACATTCTCTGTCTCTTTCTCAGTGCTACCTGAAGTGCTCACTGGGGCATTGAGGGAGCCCCTCCCTAATTTTGGCCTTGTGGGGCTCTCAGTGCACTAACCTACCACCTTTTTTTTTTTTTTAATGGTGGGATGTGGGACCTTATAAAAGTTAATGATGGGTATAAAATTAAGCATGCTTTTTATTAATGAAATGAAATGGATGATTATGATGATGGGTGTGCTTTTGTCTTATATTTTACTATATATATATATATATTCTATGTTGGATGGTTGAGTTGCGTCAATTTTGGTGTGGATGGTGCCATCTTCAGGCTTGTTAGTGGAGTGTGTTGCTGCGGTTTTTAGGAGTGGAGTTCTCTTTTAACTTTTTTTTTTTTAAGAAAGGAAAAAAGGAAAAAAGTTTCTTCTGCTTGGTAAGGAAATCATGCAATTTGTTGAAGGCTTTTGGTCACTGTATTGGACTGGCTTTGCCACCAACTGGAACTGTGTAGTGGTGACCGGATTATGGCATGGGAACATGATGTCTTTTAAGAAAGGTTGATGTTATCACTACCTGTGTTGTTTATATCCTCTTCTCTTTCATGTTTAAACATACAATCATGTTAATTTTCGTTCGATTGTAGAGTTAACGAATCTCTACCACATCAACCTCTCTCGTGTCCGGAGTCCCGACAACAGACGTGATACACCGAGCGTAGCGGAGGGAAAAAAAAAAAAACTCCGCCCAGTGCATTGCTTCCGGTTGTCCGAACTCAGCTTGTGTTTGGACTCTAGACACAATATTTTCTTTTAGAGTTGCTCAAGCCCCAATCAGCTTGAGCTTGAGCTAGTTTCACTGATCGAGTTCTAGCTTAATTTTATGGGTTTGAACCAACTTATGAGTTGACTTATTTATTATGAACGAGAGAAAATAATACTAATTTAAGTCAATGTTATAATAGAATGACCTGGACAGTTAAAAATTGATAATAAGAAGTTACTTGCTATAAAATATTATATTTTTAATATTTTTTATAATTTAAAGATAAAACTGTTGAATTTTAGTATATTCTCAGTATATTTTAATTTTTTTTTTTAAAGAGCCGTTACCCACCAAATTATATGAAGTTTTTTAAAGAATTTTTCTTAATACTTGTAAGACAGAAGATAAATCTTAATTAAGTTATTAAACATTCATATGTATGAATTTCATAGAAAAATATATGAGAATTCATATGATTATGAAATCATTTTGAAAATGGGTTATCACATGATTTGATAGGCACATTTTAATACAAATATATTATGATATATTGACCTTTTTCTTTTCATGAATAAAAGGTCTAGTATATTTTTCTAAGTGCGTGCATTATTTGGTCAAAATCAAAAGATCCAATAAAACTTAGCTCTTTTGATTGATTTGATTTTTTGAAACAGCGATCCCTTTTTATAATTTAATTTATTTTATTTGAAAATTTCACACATATCACACAATTATTATGTATTTACACATCTAACGTATAAAGCTTGATATTTAAATTTATAATACTTTGTTGGTATAAACTTATGCATGAAAAATGTATTTCACTTTTGAAATATTAATAATTGTGGTAATTTTGAGGCAATGTTAAATATTTTAGTGTTATATATGTAAATATGAGATTGTTGATGTTGTTTATAAATACATAAAAATTGTGTAGTGTACGAAAGTACCATCCAATTTTTGTCAATTTGCCTTCATTACTAGTGTTACAAGAAAACTTCTAATGAAACACAAAGTAGTAGTTTAAATTGAGAATTCATAGATTATTAGTTGCCAATTATGTCATAACTCATGATTTTAATGTAAATATATAATTAAAGTTTAATATTAAAATAAATGTTGTAATTTAAATATATTAGCAAGAATTTTAAAAATAAATAAATTGAGGTTAATATACAAGATAACGGTAACTTCAACTTAAACTAAGGGTGCGCTTGAGACGGCGGTGAGGTGCTGTTGTAGTGCCGCATTATAGTTTTTTCTATTCAGCAAAAATGTGTTTTGTTTTAACAAAAAAATTGTGTTTTGCCACCAGACCTAGTTACCTGCGGTAGCTTCTAGAAAGCTGCATTTTGGCTTTTTCATTAAAAACAAAAAAAAAGTATAATAGTCACCGTACCTTTTTGAACATCAGCTTATTTTGTAGTAGCTTCATAACTGCTTATTCAAACAGCTTCAGCTATCCTAAACAGACCCTAAGATTAATCTTAATTTTTAATTTTTAATATTCCAAAACTCTTCAAATCTCCACCGCAAGGCATGCATTTATAAAGAGAAATCGCATAAATATCCATAGAGAACACAAGTCTAGTTATCAACTTTTTTTTAATATAATTGATTATTTAATTGCAAGTATTTAAATATATGTGTATTTAATATAATATCATATGATTTGTATACACAATGGCTTCTACACCAATCAAATAAACACAAAATTTATCAAAGAAAAAGAGAACTATTGATAGTTCTTTTCTAGTTGTCACATAATTTAATTAGGCTTCATTCAATATTTTATTAGTATAATTCATAGCATGAAACACTCTATTCCTTCTTTATCTTGATGCAATGTAAAATAACAATTGTGCATCCTTCAAATGTAGTTAGGCAATTATGTAATGTAAAAGGCATTCTTCCAAAGGCAACAATTTTCATGAGCGCAAGTAAATATGGATATCTCTAACAACATAATTCAAAAGCAATCTAACCAAGAATAAAATATTTGTCTGACCGACCATCCAACATTTAATTGATAGCAAGCAATGAAAATTTTTTTTTCCTATAAGACTTATGTAATTTTCTATAACTAATAGAGATCCTCTATCTAGTAGTTATTATTCTTATAGGAATGATTTCATTATTATCGTTAATTAAAACTATTATCTCTTTTTCTTTGTTCACAATGCTCTAGGCTTAAATAAGAACTATTTAATATAAGATAAATAATTTTTACATACAATTATTTTAAAATTTCTTTCTTAACCACTTCATTTATTATTGCATTCAATTTACATTGAGTCTAAAAATGATTTATATTTTTCTTCCATCAAAATTTTAGGCATATGTAACATAAGACTGATTACTTTAATGTTTACCAAAAGCTTTTTTATTACTTTTCAAATCCCAAATAAATTTATCTTCTCAAAGTTCATATAGTTAAACAAAGTAGTGATAGACAAAGTTAACAAAAATTAAGGAAATGCAACAAGAATTTCAGCTCTAACTATGTGCTTCTATGATATATGGCTTCATTTGTTGTGTTATAAAAAATAAGTAAAATGTTTCAAATTTTCCTTCAAAAGATTTTTAATTCAATTTTAGAGAAGGGACATATTCACTTTTAGCTTCACAAACTTTATCAATCAATTAATTAATAACTTTTATAAGAATTATTGTTTAATATTTTTCCCCATCTGTTTTTACATAGAGTCTTCCACCAAGCCAATACTATAACACTAATTATTATGTTCATTGGGAGACTCTATTGCTAAAAAATAATAGTTACTACTTAATCTCAATCTTTTATCATTAATTCTCATTTTTTATACATCAATCATGACTTTATTGGTTGCTAAAAAAATATTCCTAAAATAATAATTATTCGCTTATCTTCATATCCAATACTATAAAATCAACAAGAAATATTAATTTTTCGACCAAGATAAAAACTATTTTTATAACTCTTTTAGGACAAGTCAATAAAATATCCACAATTATAGAGTTACAAAGGTCGATTAAGCTCGTAACCCTAAGTTCTTAAAAAAATGACTAAGGCACTAAGTTTATGCTAACTCTTAATTTATATAAAGATTTTTTCAAAAAAAAAATTATCACTAATTACGTAAGGAATCTCAAAACTCTCTGTTTTCCTTTAATTATTGAATTGCAATCCTCTATAAGTGCTATTATTTTAAATTATATTAATTTTTTTTAGATAAGATGTCTTTCATGAATTTTATATGGTTAGATGCTTTTTTAAGGGATTTAGTAAATGATATTTTAATTCTAAATTTCTTCAAAACTTCTAAAAACTTTAAAATTTTTGTTTTTGGAAGTAAAGTTTGCGGTTGTTTATGTAAATACATAGGAATGGGTGTGTAAATGCCTCTTTTTTTCGGTGTGTAGAATAAACTGTTATATTCAAGAGATTTTCTTAAAGTTAAATTAATTTTTAATTAGACTTATGCTCATACCATTCAATACATTTTCATAAAATTAATACCATGTTTGGTTTTAAAATGAAGTATCTAATTTGTGTAATTATATGTGCTACTAAGAAAATGTTTATAATTTTTTGAAAATAATGAATATAGGTTAGGATTTTGTTATGTTGTTTGAGATTTAAAAGAAGTTATTGTAAATGGTGGTGATTAGTATTAAAGTGATGGTGTCAAAATTTTTTAATATTAGCACATAAATTAATTTTATTTTTTGAAATGTGCACAAATTAATTTTTATTATTTAAAACATCAAATAGAGGGATCTTACTAGTATATATTAATATTAGTATGTACAAATACATGTTAAAATTTTAGGGGACACTTGCCCTCTTATTTCCCCCTTAAATTTGCTTTTGAGTGATGTTTTAATAAATAAATAAGGTTTGAATATTATGTGAATTAAATAATGGAGTCTAGCATTTATTCATCATTCTTAATGGACAATCATGCTCATCTAAGGCAGGTTCACCAAACTATGATATAGGCCACACTCAAATCCCAAAAAAACAAAAATGAAAATTATGATTTATATAAATAAATAAATATTAGAAAAATTTATATAGATACCGCACAATTTTTATATATTTATATATCTAACACAAAAAAATTAAAATTTACGCTTATAATATC